GAGTACCAGGGCATCTTATAAGCCTCTGTCCGGAGGTGAGGAGCTCCTTTGTGGCGCATCACATACTCAACCCAGAAGATGGCCTGGTCCATGGGAGCCATTGGTTGATCTCTGTGCAAACGGGACAGTCTTTGCATGTTCTGCCTGTAGCTGTCTGTATGCAGTACCTCCTTAATACCCTCCTCAAAAGTCTGTCCGTTCACATCAGCCAGCTGGATAATCTTTGCAGCTCCTCGCTCCTGCAGACGAAGGAGGTTGTCATACTGATCGAAAAACAGGGGTATGCCGAGCACAGGGACCCCGTGATAAATGGCCTCCTGGACACCGTTGGTTCCTCCGTGAGCGACAAAGACTTTAACCTGCGGGTGACCCAGAAGGTCCTTCTGTGGCATCCAGTCAACTATTAAAGTGTTGTTTCCCAGTGTAGAAGGACGCTCCCCTTTGTGCCTCCATATCACCTGATTAGAGAGAGTTTAAGAGACAACTTGATTAAATGTGGCTTGAATAATGCCAAACACAAAGCTAAAGACTATTTTGATGAGAGACCACACAAAACATAGATCTAATTAAACTAATTCAAATGTGGACATACAATCTAAGAAAAACCTTGGAAAGGTTTCATGTTTACATGTTCATGTCTATATGTTTTAAAAAGGCAATGAAAAACAGAAAATATATCTAACACTTTCTCAGCTAGACCAAACTGTAAAGCATGTGTTACTACCTTCTGGGGCATCTTGGCAAAGACGTGGGCAATTTCATCTGCAACCTCTTTTGGTAATCCATTAACCAAAGTCCCCAGAGTCATGATGATCACTCCGTGCTCCCCAGCACTCTGAACAAACTCCTCCAAGTCTGAGGGCAGAGGCTGGGCCGGTTTGCACTGGAATCCTCCGATGTAGACAACGTTTGGCATCGTGGGCCGGGGGAATTCAAACACAAAGTCTGACCTGAACAGCCAAATGTCTGCTTCTTGAAGCAGCGAGACGATATCACATCCACCTTCAATATATTTAGCACAGATGGCATCATAGATAGGACCCACCATGACTTTTTCCTGAAATAATATGATCCCGTAGAAGAACACATTCTTCACCCTCTGGATGAAATCCATTTTGTCTGTCAAGCCTGATCCTGGCGCTGGGATATAAGAAAGCGGTGAGGGGGCCAAAACAAAGTGTCCTTCTCCGCTTGTGATCCAGCGCACATTGAGCACCAATGGCAGTTTGAGAAATTTGGCTAACACAACACCAGGTCCTATTGCTGGATCAGTAAGAACCAGATCATATTTAGCATCTATCAGACTTTTCACCATATTTTGATCATCGAACATTTGAATGAGTGCTTCAGAACACATTGAATTAAAGTGTGTTAGCATACAAATGAAGTCTTTTGTAAGTTTTAAAAAAGACAGCAGTGACTCCCCTTCTCTTGCTGTCTAAAATGAAAAATAAAAAGGCAGATTTTAAAATGTGATTATTTAATAAAGTAGTGATGAAAATGGAGCCAAATAGGTATACACATAATGCCATACCTTGAAATGCCCTTGCAGATAGTCATCAATGTAGTCTTCCGTGTCCGCTTCAATTTCAACTGAAATGGATTTGTAGAGGGGAGATTTCTCTGCGATGTACCAGCTGGTGGAGGCTCTGATCACAGTGATGTTGTGTCCCCTGGCATGAAGTTCTTCCAGTAAAATCTTCATATTAATCCAGTGGCTCCCATCGACAGGGTACACCAGAATGTTTCCCCCATCACATTGTGGTGTGAAGAAAGTCAGAAATATACTGAACAATAAAAAGATGCAACGCACTGGTTCCTAAAAAGTCAAACAGAAACAAAAAAACGACTGAAAAAAACTAACCATACAGAAATAAAATGAATATGATGAAGGATTGTTTAACAGCCTTACGCGGGTGAACATTAATACTTGCATGTTCAGTTTTATGATCGCATCCATGGGACATGGGTATTTGGAATGAACTCACCTACGTTCAAGAGAGACAAGAGTGGTCCTACTCATCTTCAAACTGAGAGTCCATTGAGGGCATGTTTGAGTTCAAGCTCCAAGGAGATAATCTGCAAATTTGCAAGTAAATGAGTAACATGTCTCACATGTCATACATAACAAATAAAAAAAAGATACTATGAGTGTTTTGCATTGTAATAATATATTTAATTATACATTTAACAAATGGAATCCACTTCTTAAAGAGTATTTATTATATAAAATGTACTTGTGTAATGAATGAAAATGTGTAATGACAGTACAGTGTGTGATTTAAATGTAAAGGTCTAAGGGTCAAACCATATGAAACAGTCATTACCAGGCTTGCGCAGAACTTCACAATATTTTCAAGAGATTGATTACATCTTGATCTGGACAACATCAAAAACCTGCAGACAGAAGCCCTAGTGGGCCAAATGTGTGCGTCACTCTCTGAAACAACCCATACAGTCTCAGGACTAAGATCGAAATGATTGTTGTTTTGTCTTATTTAATTCAGCTCAGTTCTATTGATATAACACTTAAACACAACAAATATAATTTCCAGGCAATTTAAATTGAAAGTTAAATTCAGCCCACCCTTTTTCTTGATAGGCACTTTGTTAATCCATTCATCCACCCATTCATTTTCGTCTGCTTATCTGCTGCCGGATCTAGAGGCAACATGTTCAGGAGAGGGGTTTCAGTTGTCTAACATGGTTTTAAGATCAAATTCTGGGAAAAAATGGATAGCTTAAATTATCTAAATTATGTAAAAAAGAAAGTTTAGACTATACACAGTGTCTGCCTTTTCAAAATGTTACTGTATCTTAAATGACTGTTGATAATCCCTTTGTGTTTCTGGTGTTCCTTTGTTTGTTTGATTGACAGTGCAGGAAACTGTTCCCCATCACCTTTAACATATCAAACATATTTCTACAGATGTTTCCTATGTTTTGATATTCAGTTCTTTATCTAACTATGTCAAGGGAAACAAAAGCATTCTTTCAACTCAATCATAATTTATCAGCATGTGTGACAGGAAGTCAAATCATTTGCATTCATATTCTGTGAAATAACGGCACACAAATAAAAATGATTGCCCAAAATCATTGTGGACAAAGGCACAAACTTATCCAGCTACAATCAGATGAGGTACTGTATGTCATGTCCTCCAAACAGTGTAACAATGTAAATGTTGCCATAACTCTGACAAGAAATGTCTTTATTTACTGAGATTTGACTTCCACGTCTCTGTAACAGACTCTGGACAGGATAAAAAGCTTGTGGAAACCCGGTGATTTCTGACTCATACATCACTAAAGGGTTTCCTTTGTGCCCCGAGCCTGCAGGTACAAGTTTCCTCATTCAAATTTTCAACTGGTGCTGGAGGAAACATTCCAGAAGAAGCACATATTGCCATTGAGCAATCCGATAATGCAGAGGTAGATCACGACAAACCTGTAATCCTGAACATTCAAAATATTTTCGTTCAGCAAACCCAGTAAAACAGTCAAAGAAAAGAATAAATGCATTGAAGAACACTGAAAATTTCAATGCATAAGGGTTAGGTTTCTGTTGCTTCCTTGACTCTGAATCTGACATTTGAAAAATTCAATAAGATACAAAAACTGCTGGTGCGGTGGTACAGTGTTAAATATGTGCGCTAAGAGAATTGTGTTTTATAATATGTGATTACGTTTCACACCTCAGGGCTCAGTGTTTGAAATGAAATGATGAAGAACAGCAGAGGACCTAAACTGATCAGACATATAGAACCATTCCATGCTAAAATTTCACATCCCACATCACTCTCTTTTCAGTTTTAGCTCAGCCAAAGGTCAGCAGGTACATACTTACCAAATGGCTCCCCAATTAGAGTGACAGTCCATAAGAGTTTGTGAGTTTTAGTGAGTTTTTGCGCAACAGGGGTGTTGATGTTCCCCTAGGGTGGAAATGTTGATCTCAGAGTGTAATGACAACATCCTCCAGCGGACAGATGAATGTCATCTGTTTGAATGTCAAACATCAATGATGGATAGCTAATCTGGAAAAAATGTCTAGCTCCTCTTCACTCTCATCAGGATTTTGAAGTGACTTTGGAAAACTTTGATTTGTTTACAAAGATAAAGTATAGACTTATTTTTATGCAAACTAAATGGCAGCAGATAAATTCTCAAAATTCACAGGGGACAAAGGAACCACTTATATCTTCCAGCCACACCTTTTGCTGGGATTTGGATCTCTTATTTATTCATTCATTTCACTTTAATCAAAATTTGCAAGGAAACTTCAATGATATGTGGTTGAGTCTTATTTAGTTATAAAAAACAAAATCGTAATTGTAAAGCTGTACACACACATTAAATGTATGGCTTCTTTCCAGGCGCTCCAAGTCCTTTCCAGAGTCCAGAAATATGGAGAGATTAGGTTCCACGATTAGTCTGATCTGAATTTAGGAGTGTGAATGGCTGCTTGTTACAGCTGTCTAACTTTCCAAACATGTCAGAGGAAACAAGAAAAAAATGTATGAGTCTAAAACCTGAGGGGTTCTACTGTAATTTAGCTCTGTCACCCTCCTCACAATTGTTGAGAATTTAATTTGGGTATATTTACCTAAATTCTATTTAACAAGATGAATGCCAATGATGTCCAGTTGTTTTGCTTACATGGACTGAAAATTGCGACATAGACACTGTTAAAGGAATAAGGTAATATACTCAATAGCTTTCAAATTTTAATTGTAGTTTTTAAAGGATTGTAGTAATAGTCAAATAATCATGTTTCTTGCTTAATAATCGAACATAGAATATTCCAATGATAATTATGTAATCCGTAAATATTCGTAACTTGGGGTTATTCAAACACAAATTCATAATTACTTTGGGAGCAGCAGCCTATCCTGTCAGCCATCTAATTAAATGTACACCCTGAACAGGTGGCTAGTCCAAATCCGAGTGAGCACATAAACAAACAAGACATACAACTGTGCACACTATAAAAACACTGGTAAATGACCAAAGCTTCTTTGGCATCCATTGTTTTATTGCATTTCTCATATTTCCTTGCTTCACATTAACACATCTGCCTCCGTGGCAAATTGACTCTGGCTCTGTACATCATTGAATGTCTGTGGCTGTTTCACAAAAAAAAAAAAAAAAAAAAAAACCAAAAACAAGCCAAGCAGATGTAGCAGTAAAACTTGGCGAGGAGTAAAAATTCTGTTAATGGTTGGCAAATAGCCCGAAAACTCAAAACAAAATAAACGTATATTTTGAGATGACAAAGACATACAGGTCTAGCTAAGGAATATTCCAAAGACATAAGAGAAACCTGTGTAGGTTGCTTTGCACCATATTCTGCACAGGCATTGCAGAACACTAGCCAACACTTGCTGGCTAACAAAGAACATTGACAGGAAGAGGAAAGGGCATGTCTACCGTGCGTCATCCCACATGGGAATAACATTTGCAGCCTGTTAAATTTCCACTTTGTTGAAACAATTCAGTCAAATCGTAAAAGAAACTCATTGCCAAAGTGGAGTTGCTGAAGTTAAGCAGTGAAACCTGATTGAGACATTAAGTGTACATTTTTATTTGACAATTTTTGTATTTTGTTATTTTGTGTCTGTGCCGATTGACAGCTAAAAAAAAACTATGGATGTCAAAGGTCCTGCACTTCAAAAGAAAAAGATAGTATACAGTCATTCAAAGGGATATTGCGAAACTTGAAACTTCCAAGGTTTTACAAAAATAAAGATATAAATCACATTGATGATTACAATACTGTCATATAATATTGACCTATTATATGATAATACTATGTCATTATTCTTGAGACTAAAACTACCTCAAAATACTGGGTAAGTGTTAACAAGAAAAAATAATGCAGATTGCAAGTATATTGTCCACAGAGGAAAAAAATAGATTTTTATCTTTTTCTTTTTATTGTATTCATATCTTTTTATGTAATTTGTTGTTTTTTTTGTCAGATTATGATAGTGGAATTGTGTGATTTCTACTCATGGTACACAGATACGTTTAATAGTGAAATGAGCTGAGAAGTATGAAGTGCATGGTCACTCCCCCACGTTAAGATCCCACTCGGGATCTGTTGAACAAGTAATTACATCTCCAAGCTCTAGCTCTAAACATGGAACTCCCACTGCAGGCATAGTTTGTACTGTATCATGACCTGGACACATGTCAAACACGATCATGTTCTTACTAAAACTCAGTGCCAAATATCTGTCTTGAATTGAAAAGCAGTTTATGGACCCTCGTCAGATTATTTTATTAGCCCTCTCATCATCGAAACCCATATGTCACATAGGATGTATAAAATATCAAGTGTCTAAGCTTTTGATGCAAAACATAAAGTCTGGATAGCTAACCATGACTGGGCATGAAAAGCCTGTTTTAAAATATATTTCAGCATTAGCATTATTTCAGCATTTCAGCACTAACAAAAGAATCCACCGATCCCCTTAATGTAAGCAGTTCAGATGTGCATTTACTTTTGACTTAATACATGCATCGTCCTATGTTGTGGTAAATCATCTCAAGGAGGTTTAATGTTCACTGTATAAAAATTTGGCAGCATGGAAGTGTACTGAATCGTTGTTCAGAGTTTGATCCGCAGACAGGACAGAGACAGACACATAGGACTTTTCCACAAACTGCTCTTGAAAGAGACCAGACTGAGGAAGTACCAACATATCTTATCGCCAGTAACTTACTGTACTTACTCAACCAGAAAAGAATGTGCATCAACAGTACCAATAGAGCAGATGGTTTCCAATCACTGAGTAACTTTGTAGATATTGCTTAAAC